TAATTGCGGTCAGGATAAAGTTCCTTCTTGGTGGTAACCGATATTAAGATATCAGTAATCCCCCAAGATATCCTGAGGGTTTCAGATCAGCTGTGATCTGAAAAAATTTAGTGGATAGTTATCCTTTTGAGGCGATCCTTTCTAAGATGTGTGTGCCTTTGTATGTCACCTTTTTATTCAATACAGACGATTAGAAAATTAGAAACGAGGCAATAAAATACCTCAGAAATATATAACATCTGTTTTTGTTCAGATCAAATACAATTATTATTGAAAAAATTAAAAATAACAGGTTTTCTATTCAATACCTTTCATCAAAACATGTATATGTTTTTAGATATTTGCTATTTTTCTTAGTTTTTCTATTCTGTGATTTTACCACATCATACCAGGTAGTACGACTGCGGTCAACGCAGTCATACTACCTCACATTGGCGTCTGTCACTTCCACCAGGCGATAACAAACACGTCTCAATTAAATAAGCTTCGAATAACGGTCAAGTCAAATTAATGGAAGCGTTTTACCTACCAATAAAACGCATATTAATTTACTTACCTTATTCGAAGCTTATAGTCAAGCTCTGCCTGGTAATGAGACTCAATGAAATAAAAATGGCGAGTCTCTCTTAGCAAGCCTCCCCACCACTGCCAAATGGAAGTGACGTAGTAGAAAGAGATAGACATACAGGAAAAGCGGAAGGAGGGAAGCGGAAGGCCTATCTCAATTAAATAAGCTTCGAATAACGGTCAAGTCAAATTAATGCTCTGATAAAGGTTCAAAATTGGTTCACAATACATAATTTAGTGCTGAATGATAAAAAGCCAAATGCATTACATTTGTTTTGCCAAACGTTGAAAGTAACGAATTTGACATAATATTGAATAGCGAGAAATTAGAATTTGTTAAAGAGATTATTTTCCTGGGAATAACTGTAGACGACAAATTACAATGGGTTCCTCATATTACATCTCTAGCGGGACGATTAAGCTCTGCAGCTTATGCTGTCTGAAATATCCGACATAGACACGCAAGACTAGTGTACTTCAGTTACTTCCATAGCATCATGTCATATGACATTTTACTGTGGGGACACGCTGCTGACATTGAGTCTATCTTTATCTTGCAAAAGCGCCGTCAGAGCTATATACAGCCTAGGTCGTCGCGAATCTCTCAGAGAATAAGGAGATCAATATTATGACTGTTCTATGTCAATTTATTTATGAAAATATTGTGTATGTTAGGAAAAACCTACATTTGTTTAGTAAACTGTCTGATAAACACAATTATCAAACTAGACATAAGAATAGATTAAGTCCGCCATTTTGAAGATTGTCAAAAGTACATAAGTCGTTCTAAATGTCGTTAATGTAATAACAAAATCCCCCAAGAAACACTGCATCTAAATGGAAGAAAATTTAAACTACGTATTAAAACAACGTTGTGTAGACAAGCTACCACAAACTTAATGATTATATAGAGGATAAAAGTGCTTGGAGGCAAGCTGGTCCGGCTCCGCAGGATAATACATGAAACACAGTGATGTTCACTGAATTCTAATTATGTGATAGTAAAATCATGTTGCTTAAATGTTTAAATAGTGCAAAACTTTGCACAATTTATTGTAAATGTTAGAGCCCTGTAATTAATTAAATTAAATTAGACTAGCACAATGCTGTCTCAAAGATCTCATTGGCGGTGGCACGTGCATTGTTCTTGACTTGACTGCACGGTTGGTGCGGTGGCTGGGCAACTGGCTGCCGTGCAACGTGTCGCGGGTTGGATTCCCGCACGGAACAACTCTTTGTGTGATCTACAGATTGTAGTTCCGGGTCTGGCTGTCATGTGAATGTGAACTTGTATGTTTGTAAACGCACCCACGACACAGGAGAAAATCCTAGTGTGGGCCAAAGTTTAAATAAAAAAAAAATAATGTTCTCACACAATCGGACCAACAAAACTATGTAACTAGAGAATTATATTATAAACGTGATTGAAAAAGAGTAACCTATGGAGTTTCTTGCTCTATAGGAATATATCCAGTGGAATCTACACCTTGCAATGACAAATGCAAATAGCTAAATTTTCAAAATATTTGTTGTCAACGTTCAAAAGTGCCTTTCTGATCTAATTGAAATAAATGATTTTGACTTTTGACTTTGGTTATAAAAAAATAAAAAAGTAAGTCCAAATAAATAGAACGAAACAGTTTCGATGAAAAATATTTTTCTGTGTGGAATTAAGGACATCTTGTAGGGAGTGACATATAATTTTATAATCCTTATTAAATGCACCAACTTCGGTGAAATTTGCCACTACTAGTGCAGTAACACTTAAAGTAAGTGAAATCTTATTATGAACACTTGGTTCGTCAAAAAATTATATTCTATTCCAAACTAAAGCAGTCGGTTCAGAATTTATGATTCCATAATAATGAAGCACTATTCAGGATAACGTGAGTAAAAATACAGACGGAAAAATAACGAATTGTAGCACCAAGAGTCAAAAGACTGGCACAGGGTGTACTTTTCCGTGGATAACACATAAGTCATTATTGTAATTTAAAAACTACATGACTTGGAATTTTTTCTATATTTTTCTGATGACTGTTAGAACCTTACCGATCACCTGGTGCCATTTGATCGTCGACTTCAGGGACACCCTGTATGTATGCTTCGTGATGGTCTCAATTTGAGACGAAATTATTTTTGTAATAGCTATATAGGTATTCAGTTTACAGGGTTAAAATTTAGTTTACTATAGGTTTTTTAGAACACGTTCGTTTTTTATTGGAACTGCAAAGTGGAGAGACTCCAGTCACTCTATTATTTACCGGAGGAAAGATATGGTGACATATCGTGTCATTTTATATTTTCGTGTCTCGGTGACAGTATGATTGGTATTGGTTATAACAATTGCCCGATATGTTTGCGAAGAGTCCAGGAAGAGTGTTCCGTATCGTATGTTCGTCCCCAGGTACAGTGAGCGCAGCCAGCGCCAGTGCCAGCAGCACGAGCGCGTCCACCGCCAGCGCCGCGGCCGCCGGGCGCCGCCTGTCCGCGCCGCTCGTGCAGCTCGCCGGCGGCGCCCTGCACAAGCACGTGCACGTGCACGCGCCGCACGCGCCGCTCGTCGTGGCGCAGTCGCATCTACAGCACGTGCCGCCCAGCAAGCTCAAGGTACTGCACGCGCACCCGCTCACGCAGAGCCAGCGCACCGCGCTCCTCGCGCAGAACCGCGCGCTCGGCGGCCTGCCCACCGTCGTCTCGCTCGCCGCGCTCGACGGGAAGGCGCCCGCCGCGCTGCTCAAGGCCGCGCCCGGCTCCGTCGCGCAGCTGTTCGAGATCAAGGCCGGCCAGCTCGGCAAGGGCCCGCACCTCGTCAACGTGGTGCGCCAGCCCGCGCCGCGCGCGCCGCCCGACGACAAGCGCCGCGTCAACCTCAGCCTCGACGGCCGCCAGATCGTGCGCGCCGCGCTGCCCGGCGGCGTGCGCCACCAGATACAGCTCAAGTCGCGCGCGCTCGGGCCCGTGGCGCCGCGCGCGCTCGTCGCCAACCTGCTGCACAAGGCCGTGCCGCTGCCGCGCGCCGCGCACAAGATCGCGCTGGGCGGCGCCGCGCAGCCGCTGTCGGCCAACGTGTCGGCCATCGCCTTCGCGGCGCCCGCGCAGCTCAAGCGCCGCCTGGGCGCCCCG